TCCTTGTAATCCATCCCCAATCGCAAATCATAGTAAATCATATTAATTATTTTTTTGCTTCCTTTACACATAACAAAATAATATATAGTTATCCTATATAATCCTTTCTCTTATCTTAGTATCTTTAAATTTTAATGAATAGCCCAAGCCACTTCTTACGCATCTCTTGCTCCAAGCTATATTATACTAATTTAGTAACATTATTTCTACAAATTTCTTTTTTCAAATATTTTCACAAATATCTTAAGTGCATCCCAATTTAGCTCACAATAATCATCCAACTATTTAATCAACTTTCAACATTAACTTTATCATTAACATTCAGTCCATCACCAACTTAAGATAATGCATAAACATCAACCAAAACACAATTCAATTTCCTCAAAATTATGACAGCAATATGAGTAGGGATGTATTCCTCGCAGAACAATCATGCAATTTTATTATTAATATGTTAAAATTATGTTAAAATTTATTATTAATATTTTTATTAAACACTTTTAATCTTTATAAATATTATAAATATTAAAATTTTAAATATTTTATCTTTATATTTTATCTTTTTAAATAGAGGGATCAATATTTAAGTGGTTTGAAACTATAAAGACTAAATTGCACAATGAAAAGTTTAGAAAACTGAGCTACAACCAAGTTAAAACTATAAAGATTGAGTTATAATAAGTTAAAATTTAAAGATTGAGTTATAATTAAATTAAAATTACAGGGATCAAATAATTAATTTTTTTTTAGAGAAAAAGACTAATATGGACACCGGCCAGCCCATAACAAGCACGAGGTTAGCCATGCATGCGCACGCAAAAGCACCCGAAAAAAGAGACCCATGTGGAAACTAAGGGAGCTGGAGGTTATTTAGGGAGAGAGAGAATGAGATTGAGGTTGTTGAGTATTTTTGTGTAATCTTCTCTCTGAAAACAGTCTGCCTTTCTCTCTGTATTTCTGACAATTCTATTATTGTCAAGCTCGTATGATCCTGTTATCATTGATTTAGTGTCTCCATTACAATCAACATAGCTCCATATTTCCATATTTCACTGTGTGATCGTAACGTATTCTCGATCTCCTTCCAAAATCATTTCCTTTTGGCCACATTAATTGTTTCCTTGTAAACCCGGTCCATTGAGTTTAGGCCAGTTCGTTGCAGTCATTCTCTCCAATTTGCTGGCAGATTAGTGCTTTAAATGATTAAATCAAGTCAACATATATTATTTACCAATGTTTTAAAACCAGACCAGACAATGATTCAAAAAGATCAGTGAGTTATGAGTTTCATGATTCAACCGGTTAGATTAATAATTAAATTGGTGATATAATAATAAAAAAATAATATATATATATATATATATATATTTTTAAAAACAGGTCAAAATAATTCAACCATTTTGAATTTCAGGTTTTTGTTTCAGGTCTTCAAAATTATCTAGGTCAAAGCATGCCAACCTAAGTTAGCTGCCAGAACGGGCTAAATAGTTGAATCAAACTATTTTCATCTCTGGGTGATGGTCCGACCATTCAGGTTGGCCTGGGTCTTAAAATAGTGTTGTTTATAGTTGTTCAAGTTTTTATTTGATGGCTTAACCCCCTAATTTCTTTCATTTCAATAGCTCGTTTTTTTATGTTACACAAAAGAATTTCTAAAGGAAATGAAAATGAATAAACCTTCAATGTAAGGAAATCTTGAGTCAAAAAATATGTTTGGCTAGTCGAAAAAAATAGTAAATAGAATATCGTTATGCTTGTTCAATAATCAATATGTATATTTGAATGGGGCTTTCAATGTTCATATTTCAAGAGAAAAAAAAAAAAAACCCTCATCATTCTTGATTTGAAATTTTTTTTCAGCGAGAGGAAAATTTAAGTATTTTTTCATAAGAGTTGATTGAATTTTCTTTCAATTGTCAAGCTATTACAATTAGTGTTGTTCTCCATAAAATGACACACCATGAGATTTTAGTTTATCATGAGCTATCATTTGGTTACCCTTATCATTTATTTGTCATTTTCCCTAAAACATTTTAAAAATATAAATTCTATGAAAATGTGCAATTTGAATTCTAGAATTTTGAAAATTCAAATTTAATTTATTATTATAAAGATTAATATAAATAATTAGTATAATATAATTAATTCCAATTATAATTTTTATTATATAATAGAATATTATTATTATTATATAATATTATTATTATATAATATTATATATTCTATTTAATAAGATTTTTAACATTTTATTTATAGATTATAGAATAAGGAATAAAATTTTTTTAGCCCGGCTAGGTACTAGCCTAGCTGGCCCTTTTTTGTTCCTATGAATTTTGGATAAAAATAATTTATTTGATATAAAAAAATAAAAAAGGATTGGATTGGATAACAAAAAAAGTATTTTATTAAAATCTAAAATCCAAAAAAAAATATTTTAAATGTTAAAGTTGAATCAATTCTGAACATAAAAATGTTGAGATCAGATTAATGAAAATAACAATTTATAGACAGCCTCTTTATCTCCTTTTCTTTTGAAAGAAGACTAATTCACATGAATTGAAAATTCATAATACAAAATATTGAAATTAATTAAATATTGAAATTCATTATATATACCACACATATAATATTATTGAAATATTCTATTTCATTTGAAATTCAATATTAAAATTAAATACAAAATGAAATCGAAATTTATAAATTAGAAATCCACTTTTATATTAAACCTATCTAATATACTAACATACAGACTAACAATAAATAAAATAACATCAAATAAATAGAATAATATTAATATATTCAATGACTAAAGAATATGAACTTTTGACTAATGATCATCACGAATTGAATTATAATCAAATTGCTTTGGGCCATTTTTTCAATATTAGTAATTGATGATTATACAATTTGAATAATTCAATACAAATAAAATTCTTTATTATTTAAAATATTTATATGATTTTATTAATATAATTTATAGTTTCAAAATAGTTTCAAACTACTCATTCATATGAAGAATTAGATCAGTCCTATAATTATACCTAGATGAATTCACACTCCTTAGGATTTCATTCAATTAGGAATTTAGTATATAAAATTTTTCCTAGTCCTATCGATAAGGTCATGAAATTTTAATTTATTTATCTTCTATTTTACACCTAATGGAGGTAAAAGTTAAAAGAATCATTGAGATTGATGTCAAGCAGCTAAGAAATAAAGATATTCTATTGGTGAAATTGATCTGAAAAGGCTTTTCTCCAGCGGAGGCAACTTGGGAAATGGAAGAAGAAATGAAGAAGCAATATCCCACTCTATTTATGTCAGGAAAAATTTATATTTTAAGAACAAAATTTCATTTAAGATGGGGAGAAATGTCACACCTTGCATTTTTATACATGAATGTTGATATATTTGTATAGGAACCTCTGAGTTAGGTAGTCACCTTCGTGATAAATCAAAGAGTATTTAAGGATCTTTTAATCTTAAAAGAGGACCAACTAGAATGGAAAGAAAATTTCTAAGACTAAAATGCAAAATATTTTGTAGCTATAATTTTACTTCTTACTGTAAAGTGAATTACTAGATAATTTGATTAGAGATAAAAATTATTCAAAATTTTTGGATAGTGATCATAAAATCTATTGGAATATATTTTTAGACTGTACAATTACCTTAATGAAAATAGGAAAAAAAATTTAGGAAAAACTCCTATCTAAAGTTACCTAGACTCTTTAATTGACAATTTTTATAACACTATAAAACTTTAATTAACTCATACTCTGCCCAATTTGATTAGAGTGTTAATGTTCTTAGTATTTTAGTTTATTATATAATTTGGATTTTGGAAGATGATTAAAATATCAATTAGATTGCAAGAGTACATTAATTGTCTTCATAGAGTTATTTGTTCCACTAATTTCCTGAGTTATAATTTTACTTGTTAACCATTTCTTTTTCTTTAATTTTCCGTCAATATTTCTTTTAGAAAGACAATTATAACTAAGAGGAAGAAGAATAATATTGTCCACCACCACTTCAATACGATCCTCTCCATTTATTCAGTTAAATTATTTTTTTATTAAAATTGTTAAAAAAATACATAACTTTTCAATTTTGTCCTTCTTTACAATTAATAACCATAATAAATTGTTATGTAGAAATTCAAGTGATAATAAATAAATAAAATGCTAAATATATTGAAAAAAATATCAATTACTCTAACATAACCTTGCTTTATATTAAGGATAGAAAAACTTTCAGAATTTACATTATATTAAGAACACTACTAGAAAAATTGAATTTAGCGAAGGATGTCATTTTTCATAGCTAAATTGTATTTTAGCTACGAATTTTATCCCTCGCTAAATTTGTAGCTAAAAAAGGACTCGCTAAATTTAGTGAGGAATTGTATTTTCCTCGCTAATTAGTGAGGGATTCAATCCCTCACTAAAATTAGCTAGGGACTGAATCCTTTGCTAATCCCTCGCTAAATATGTCTATATTTAAAAATAATTATGCCACATCATCCGCCATGTGTGATGTCAACTTGTGACATGTCATCAACAACCTCATGCTTTGTCAACCACCATGTCACCTACCATCTTATACCCTATCACCCACTACATGTGCAACAACTCATGACACATCATTGTCCACCTTGCGCCATGTCACTTACTCCTTACCATATCATATATTCATCATGTTTATGCCAAAGCCAAGGTTTGAACCCTTGACCTCATACCTTCTAAGCTAAATATGTTTATATTAAAAATAATTATGCCACATCATCCGCCATGTGTGATGTCAACTTGTGACATGTCATCACAACCTCATGCTTTGTCAACCACCACGTCACTTACCATCTCGTACCACCTACTACATGTGCGACAACTCATGACAC